ATAAACTAAAAACAAGTACTGTATCAGTTAATTTTAAAGAACATTAGAAATAAAGAAGCACCAAAGAAACTGAACGAAAACTTCTAGAATTCTACAGAGCCAATCTAATCAGTTTTTTAATGAATATAGTATATAGCTAAACTCATTGCATCAGGATGATAAGTAATGTGCATTTATCAACACTGAGGAAGGAGAAAAGAAAGCCTAGAAATAGCCTTCAAGACCCAAAAAAAGCCCTAAGGGCTATCTGAGATTGTGGGTCATTTTAATTTTTTAAAATAATTTTCTACATTACCAACTTTTCTTCATAGTGATTTCCCTCCTCTTTTAAGAATAAGAAATATTTCCCAATGTGCAGGCTTGTTCTGAAGATTAAATAAGTACTTGCTGATGGTGATGATTGTAGCCGTTAGTATGAATTGTATTTCAATGTAAAGAAAAAATCCTCACAACTGGACCAATAGATAACATCATCATAAAAGGAGAAATGATTTAAATTGTCAAGGATATGGTCACGCTTGGATCCACAATCAATGCTCACCAAACAGCAGGCAAGAGATTAAATGATGCAAGGCATTGGGTGAATCTGCTGCACAAGACCTCTTATAGTGTTATTTTGAGAACTAAGGTGCATCTGGGCATGGCATTTTCAATTGTCTCATATGCATGTGAAAACTGGAGATTGACTAAGGAAGACTGAAGAAGAGTTGATGCATTTGAATGATGGTGCTGGTGAAGAATATTGAAAGTACCAGGGGCTGCCAAAAGAAGGAACAAATTTGTCTTTAAAGAAGTAGGGCACAAATGCTCCTTAGAGGCAAGAATGGTGAGACTTCATCTCATGTACTTTGGACAAATTAATGAGAGACCAGTCCCTGTAAAAGAACTTCATGCCTGGTAAAAGAAAGGGGCAGCATAAAAACAAAGGGTTTAAAACAAATGTTTCCACTGCTTTGTGCTTTATTAGTAATAACAACAGGCAATAACATGTTGACAATACCTAAAAACACTTCAAGTCTGATTATTGAAAATGATGTTGATTAAAGAAAAAGGCCATTGATCTTGAGCTTGGATGTAAACAAGCCATATAGTAGATGTCAGTAAGAACTCGACTTGCCTAGTGCTGTTTAAGGTTTAAATTATATATAAAAACTCAAACCAACCTTGAAATCAATGTAAAGGGGCGTGATGGGGTGGGAAAGTAATGCTAATTTAAAGTACTCCTCTAATTCTTTTTTCAAATTCAGACAATTGTTTTTAAATGCCACATGATTTTTAAAGTCAATTTTCCTAAGATATGCCTATGATGCCAATAGCAGAACTGATTGTATCTATTCCCATAACACACACTGTCAAAATCAAGGGAAAAGTTAAAAAGACTCAGACACTGAAAAGACTGGTAGCAGAACAGGTAGAAACATCATTTATGCACACACACTTGAATGTGGGGAGGGAGGGAAGTTGGGAGAGAGAGTCTTATTACAGAAAATGTCATTCGAAAGACTTCTACATTGTAGATCAGTTGAAATACGTAAACAACAAAATTACCCTGGAGAGCAAACGTGGCACTTTTATATGATGATTTTTAATCCGAATTGGCAACTTAAAAGATTATTTTGTATCTATTTTTATACTTTCTTTGCTTTCTTATGTCATATTTTGTGTAACAGGCATAGTTCTGCTTTTGTGAATGAGTGTTATTGTAAGTTTTGGCTTTCAAAATCTTCAACTTTCATTTTTAACATAAATAGTACCCAATCACTTAAGTGTTTAATTTGTTCTGGTCGGTATTCCAGATATCTTACTTTAAGAGTTGTGCTCTACAAGTATACTTCCTGTATCTCAACAGTATTTTAAATTCTATACCATTTGCTAAATGAATGATACTTTCAAGAGATTTGCCATATGTTCCATGGAGATGATTTACCATATTCCCCAATAAAATGATGGTGATGTCTCTTAATTGGACCAGGGAGCTGTATAAACCACAGATAAATGAATGGATTTTGAGCTCGTGGATGTTGAGCTTGTACTTAATTGTAGCCCTCAATCAGTTCTCGTGACTGTGGCCTTAACTCCACATTTGTCCTCACAAAGAGATCAATGAAGGTATGGGTGCTATAGCAAAATGTGGGGTAAAGAAATCAGAGCGTGCTTATCAAGAAAAAAAGGGGTCTGAAATATTAAAGGTTTGTCTTAAAAAATGTAGCTATCTTAGTGAGGTGTCAGATAAATCTACCTGGAAGAAGCACACCAGTCTGTTTGATACAAGGATTGGAAATAATAAAATCCAAGGCCAGAGGAGGGAACTGTATCAGAGCTTAAATTCTGAGTACACAGTTTGCAGAAGGCTATGAATACAAGACTATGGAATACCCAAAATCCATTTGCATGGTGCCCAAGAAGATTACACCTCCAGAGAATCGCCTCTGACCATTGATCACGTATGTGATCTGAATGGTCTTGCTTCAGACAGAATACATTGGATAGTGAATTAATACAGATACAGTTAAAATTTAACACTTCATCATTTGTTCTTCTGACTCATTGTAAATTCATTGTCATTTTCATTATTTTCTGCTTTCTTTTCCATTGAGATATTTCTGTTATATTTTGTAATTGTTGTATGGTATTTTTGTTTTTTATGTGATTTTCTTTATAAATATCCGGGAGTGGTAAATATACAGAGAGTAACTGGATTAATAGTTTCTTAGGGTTATGACAGGGGAGGTTATGGAGAAATGGGAAGCTAGTAAAAATGAGTACAAGAATGGAGAAAATGAGAGAGATTGTAGTGGGGAATTCCACAATTCCTTTTGAATATTGAATTGTATAATATTTTAATTATATGTCAATAAAACTTAACTAGTTAAAAGATTATTTTAAGGATTAATTACTGGTTTGGTATGTTTTGCTAATAATTTGAACACACTATTTTTTATTATTTAAAAAATCTCAAAAGAGGACTAAGAAACCAGTTCTTACCTGCCAAAAAGACTATCGTGAACAACATAGACAGAACATACACTGAGATCTATTAATCCTTTTGGTTTTGTAGCTCGTTTTTCACTTTCAAAATAAATAAGTTGTGCATCACTGCCCTCTAAAATAAAATATAAATTTTTCCACCGTTTTCCTTTGCCTGTTAAAAAAATTTAAAAGAGCTCAAAATTAAACTGTGAAATCACGTATTAGAATCAGAAAATTATATTTGCTGAAAGTCAATTAATTTCATTCTTATTCCTAAGTGTACACAGTACATTAATCTTTAAGTAATGGAAAAGTACCATTCACTTATATGTTTATAAGTTTATTAACTTTTGCTTAGATCTATTGCTTTAATTAATGATAGATAATACAGAATTAATGATGAGGACACCTTATGCTATATTATGATGAAATAAATGTTCAAAATTCTTGCTCAGGAGTAATTACCTTCCAATCACAAGGAAAATCACCTTTCTATTGACCCTGACCTACTCACTATATCATCACATCATGGTAAAGTCAGAGATTAAAAACATTGCTCTATGAATATGCAGTGTCATAAAGAGTTTCTCTTTAAACAATATGTTAGGGGTAGGTGGAAAAGAACTAATGATCTTGTGGTGGAACTAATATAATTAGAAGTATATAAGCTTATCTCTAATTCCTAGCTAAGCTATAGGCTTAGTTTATACCCGGACTCTAATTTTGAAAGATGCATGGACAAAAGTTCTAAAACATGTCAATTATCAGTAATTCATGTCATAAGAGCTTACATTTCACACCAAGTTTTATACCTAACATGTACAATATCTCCAATAAATTTGACAACTGTGAAATACTAACACTGTATCCTTACTCATAAAACTTAACACTTACCCTTTTTTAGAAGATAACCTTTTTTAACAATGTTTTTATAAAAGGCATCTTTTGTTTTACGACGAATTGTATTATAGATTTCCTTGCCATCTACTGCATCATTGAGTACTTGTTCTTGATCCTGAATTAAAAAATAATAGTTATTTCATGAATTCTACTAAAAATCCAACTAAACTACCAAATTTAAAATGAGTTCTTGTGCCTGTCCAAGTATAAAGAGTATCACTTCTAAAATACAAACACATAAACACATATATATATATTTATTTGCTTTACAAAGAAATTTACAGATTTCCTAGCCATTTTCCAAAAATACATAGTCCTAATATATTTTCAAAAGTCAGCTTAATTGAATTTTTCAGCAAATAATGTTTATAAAATATGAACTTGTCCCAATGTTACTGATGAATTACACAAATTTGTGTTTGCTTATGCACAACTGCATCTGTGAGGCAGACTAAGTGAATGCCAAAAGCCACTGCACCCAGCTGAAAAGACACACCTAAGAATAAACCAAAGTATAGTCATCTTCAAGCATCTAACAACTCCTCCTCAGTTTACTAATATGCCACACCTATCCATCATCTGCTTTCATAACTTTCCAACTGGTTTTGGATAATCCTTTACTACTACAAAATAATATAAGTAGCATCCCTTTGGATAGCAACTTTCAGAAGTAAACATGTTTTTTCTCAAGATAAAAATGACATTTTTCTTGTAGAACTTATGGGTTTTTAACCATTTAAAAGGTAAAAGAAAAACTATACTACTACTTTTTATTAGGCTTCCAACTTTTTAGAAAATGTGTCAGTGATGAAGGTTTTCCATATGGTGCCCTTGGCTCCATTTTCTCTACAAGTTATGTGGTTTGCATGGCTTTGTGTAATAATGTTTCTAAATATAAAAACAATAAAAATTCGTATGCCAGTGAGCTTATAAAGAAACAAGTACTTCTACAATAACCTTTGCAAAAAGATCAACAGGATCAATCTTAGTTTTTTAGTGGTTTTTTTTTTTTTTAAAGAATCATTATTTGTAATAGTGTTTCATAACTTTTATTCTCTTACCAATTTTTTTAAAGACTGAAATTCATTCTAACTTGAACTATATATGGTCCATTTAAGTCTTTTATAAATCTAAGATATATTATGGGATCTTAAGATACTTTATTTTTCCTGTATTTTGAAACATTTAGCTATTGCACCACTTTACGATCTACTTCAGTATTACTCATTATTTATTCTTTAGTATGTGAACAAAGCTAAATAAAAATTGAAAGATGGAATTGCCCAGAGTAGGGGACAGCAAACTATAACACAGCAAGTGTTTTTGCACATGAAGCTTTAATTGAAAACAGCCACACATTCATTTAGTCACTGTGACTTTCAATACAACATAGACAGAATAGAGTAGCTGAGACAGTGAGGATGAATGGTACATTCCTAAAATACTATCTGTACCTTTAAAAAGGAAGTTTGCCAACCTTTGGCCCAGAAAATATTGCAATAGCAAAATAAATAACCTCTGCTGTAAAACTCTTCAGGTTTCATTGTGTTTTATTGTTTTGCTAAATACTGCAGCATTTTTAAACTATAAAACAGATCTTTTTTCCTTTTAATTAGCTTTCACAGAACATGGTTGAAAATTCAAACCTCTTAATTTTCGGCACAAAGCAACAAAGAGAAAAAGGAGAAGGCAGTCGAAGATGTTTAAAAACTATCAGAAGAATCAGGAGACAACCACCAAGAGACAACAGCATTCTGGACTCTTAGTGTTATGGTGAAATTTATTTTGATAGGCAAATCAAAGACTCCTATCATTACAGAACTTACATTCTGTAAAGAGAAACAATTACATTGAAAATTTGAAGATGTGAGAGATCAATTTTAATTTTGAGTCAGATCATGTCATTCCTGCTCAGCAACTGCTGGATAATATACACTCAGTAAAAGTCAGTATCTTTACAGGGCACACAGGTCCCCCAGAGAACTCCTATTTTTCTGATCGACTATAGGCAGAAATTTAAGAGTTTAAATTTTTAACTGTGTTCAATAAAAGCTAAGTATGAGGGGGAAAGCCTTATTTTCAACTGCCTCACATACTTGTGGAACTTGTACACTGAATAAGAAAGACCAAAGAAGAACTGGTGTATCTGACTTTATGTTGCTGGGAAAAAATATTGCTCACTTAGGACTTCTAAGTGAGCAAACAAATCCATTTTGCACACCCAGAATATTCTTCAGAAGCAAGCATGGTGAGACTCTGTCTCATATACTTGGGATATGTTGTCTAGAGAGACAAGTCCCTGGGAAAGGACATCATGCTTTGTAAAGTAGAGGGGCAGTGACAAAGAGGAAAACGCTCAACTAGAAGTATTGACACAGTGGCTGCAACAACAGGCTTAAACATGACAATTGTGAGGATGGCACAGAACCAGGCTTCTTTCTGCTGCGCAAAGGGTAGCTATGAGTTGGAACTGACATGATGCCACCTAAGAAGAACATCAAGGACAAGTTGGGTCAGGCACATCTTATTCCTCACAGTAACATCCTTGCTTTTCAACACTTTAAAGAGACCGTGCAATGTATCTTTTGATCTATTGACTACTGGTTCCATGAGCATTGATTGTGGATACAAACAAGATGAAATTCTTGGCAACTTCAATCTTTACTCTCTTTATCATGATCTAACCTATTGTTCCAGTTGTGAGGAATTTGGTCTTCTTGATACTGTAATCCACACTGAAGGATGCAATCCTTTATCTTCAACAAGTGCTTCAAGTCACAATCTTTGCTCTTGCTAGTCACTCTGCCTAAAATCACTTTTCCTCTAGCATAAATGCTTTGAAGTCAGGAACTAGATAGATTGTGAAAGCAGACCAGCTTTATGTTCCTAACAAGCAGGATACTGGGCATAGGAAAGAAAGTAAAGGACTAAGGTAACTTGATGTCTTAAGGAACTTACTTAAATTTCTGATCTCAGTGTCCCTTGATTTTTTTGCAGCCCCTCAACCTTACTAAGCAAAATACCATTTTCCAGAGACTGGTCTCTCTTGATAATACATGAAAAAAAAGTCTTGTCAAATTTGCTTCCAAGGGACATTCTGGCTGTACTTCTTTCAAGACAGGTTTGTTTATTTTGACACTCCATAGTACTTTCCATATTCTTCACCAGCACCGTAATTTAAATGCATCCATTCTTCTTCCGTCTTCCTTATTCAATGTTAAACATTCACGTGCAAGAGACAACTGAAAATAACAGGGTTTTGGTTAGGCATACTTTACCCCTAAAAAGTTAACATTCTTGCTTTTCAACCCTTTACAGAGGTCTTGTACAGAAGATATACCTTTGCAATGTTTGTTTGGTCTCTTGACTACTGCTTTGGTGAGGATTGTGGATCCAAGCAAGACAAAATCCATAACAACTTCAGTTGTTCCTCCATTTATTATGACGATATCTATTGGTCCGGTTGTGAGGATTTTAGTCATCTTTATATTGAGCTACAAATCATAGTGCAGGCTGTAAGTTTTATCTTCACCAGCAAGTGTTTCAAGTCCTCCTAGCTTTCAAAAAGCAAAGTGTGTCATCTACATATCAAAAGTTGTTCCTAAGCCTTCCTCGATTGAGGAATTCTCCTTCATATAATGCAGCTTCTTTGATTATGTGCTCAGCATACAGACTGAATAAGTATGAGAAAATACAACTCTAATGCATGCTTTTCTTGGTTTTTATACCATGCACTATTCCCTGGTTCTGTTTGCACAACTGCTTCTTGATGCAAATTCTGCGTGAAGACAATGAAGTGTTCTGGGATTCCCATTCTTCACATTAGAACATTAAACACAAGCAGTATCTTTCCAGTGCTTTCTGTTTTCAGCCAAAATCATCTAACATCAGCAATGATATCCCTTGTTTCACTTCCTCTTCTGAATTGGGCCTGAATTTCTGTCAGCTCCTTGTCAATGTCATGCTGCAACTGTTGCTGGATGATCTTCATTAAAATTTATTTGCATGGGATATTAATGGTATTAATCTATAATTTGAGCATTCCATTGAGTCATCTTGCTTTGGAATCAGTAGAAATATGGATCTAAACCTAAAACATAGTACTCAAAATTGAAATTGTTTAATATAGGGGTCACATTTAATTCTAGCTCCAATCGAAGAAAAATTATTTCTTATGACATGGGCTTTCTTAATGCTCACTCTCATGAAGAGCTCACTAAAGATATAGGTGCTATAGCAACTTGGGGCAAACTAGTTGGTGCCCACCTATCAGAAAGTGTCTGGCAACTTAAAGATTTATCTTTAAACAAGCAATCTAAGCAAGGCATCAACAGAGTCCACCTGGAAAAAACATACCATCCTGTGTGGTATGTGGTATGTTATCCAAGAACAAATAATATAATCCAAATCTAAATGAGGGCATGGTATCAGAGCTCAAATTCTGAACACCTGGTTTGAAAAAGGCAGTGTTAAATCCAAAATCCATTTGCAGGATCCAAACATGGATTAAGCCTCTGGTGAATCCTCTCTGACCATAGTCAAGGGATGTGAACAACCTTGTGATCAGACAGAGAATATTACAAAGTCTATTATGGATGACGCCCTACGTTAAAATATAACACCTTATTATTTGATCTCCCTTTTAACCCACTTTAGGTTAAGATGTATCGTCTCATCATTTGATGTCCCGTTTGACCCACTTTAAAGTTACTTAACTGAGCAAATAAAGGAGAAATACATGTGATTAAGCCTCCTGTGAATCCGCTCCGCATTGGAAAGTGGATTACTGCAGGTGCAATTAGGTTAAAATCTAACACTTTATCATTGACTCAATGTTAACTGGTCAAACACCTTTTGATTCAAGGCAAAGCTTGTTCTAGTTTTTAACATTTTCTGCTTTCTTTTCAATTGAGGTTTGTCTCTATTTTAGTTTGTTTTTTGTTGTTGTTGTTATTATTCTGTATATGAAATCCAGTATAGGTCAATCTACAGAAATAATAACTGCATTAATGGTTTCTTGGAGGTATGGGGTGGGGTGGGAGAGTTGGGGGGAAATTGGGATTAATAACAATGGGGAGTACTAGTTAAGAAGATGATGTTCTAAAATTGATTGTGGTAATGATTGTACAACTCCCCTTGATATAATTAAACTAATGAATTATATGATGTGTGGATTAGTGCCAATAAAACTGTTTAAATAAAACTACATAAATCTAAAAATAAAAAGTAACTTTTGTATGGCATGGGTATGGTACCCAGTGGTATAATGGGTTTCACATTGAGCTGCTAATCACAAATTCAGCAGTTTGCCATAGAAAGATGGGCCTATCTGCTCCCATAAGGATTTAAAGTCTTTGAAACCCAAGGTGGAGTTTTACTGTACTAAGGAGTCATTATGAATCAGAATCGACTTGATAGCGGTTATGTTGTCTCAAAATGTTCCTTCTCTTCTTCTAATGTGTTTCAGGAAGTGTTGGTTCCATGAAGTAAAGTACAGTAAGCTGATCTAAGGTGGACTTAGCTAGTGAAATTGGCACAGTCCCACGTTAATGTTCCAGTATTCTATCCTGAGTATAGTACGGCAGATGGGACTGTACCAATTTTACCAGCTAATGAGTTCTTTCATTAATAAAATGGTTATTACTTGAATATCCTACTCTGCTTATAAGAGCTATCTCAAAACAGAGAGAACAGTCACAGAATCATTGAAAGTAAAGGACATTTGAGATCTCATCTGAAAAGGCAGAGGCCGAGACAAGCAGCAACACAGGCTACAGTACAGAGGCTACAGGACAAAGTAAAGGAGTTATGCAGAGACCAGAGGCCAGGATAATGAGACCATGACACAGAGCACAGCAGCAGTGGGAAGACTGAGTTTATGAAGCACAGAATCGGGTGGGCTTTCAGGGCAACAGTCAGAGGTAAGCGTCCGTGCAACCGAGATGTTGAAGACCAGAGAGACTTGGATGCTGGATGAGGAGAGGTGTTGCTGTGCACCAATGGCTTTATCCTTATTGTTTACTTATCCTAACCTGTTAACTTCCTTATTAAATAGCCTTAAAGTAAGGGGACCAGATTTTAACATTGGTAAAGCAGGACACCATTGATAAAACTCATATCCTGGCAAAATAGCCACATGGCAGCCGAAAACCGTATACCCTAGATTGTCGTGCATTCTTCCCAAAAATCCGGACTGGTCACCTTACCTCAAAGGTAAGTGTTATCTGTGAGTTCTGTGTGGCCACTGCAATGAATTATCGAACCCAGCATAAAATTAGAGTTTCATGGGAGAAATGGTTGGTGTCAGAATATGTACTGAAGGATGGAAGGTGAAGACTGGTCTAAACTCTGCTCATGGCAACAGGAAAGCCAGAGGTCAGATATGGCCTCTAAGCTGTTTTCTCCTTTCCCTAAAAAACTCATAATTGTGTTTTATCTGAATTCTGTGTGGCCAGTGCAAGGAAATATTGAACCCTACATAAAAGTAGAGTACAGTTGGTGTCAAAGAAAGATACAGTGGAGGAGGCATGGTTAACTTCTTCCTCGTGGCATTAGAGAAGCCCCAGAGAAGGTCAGAAATGGCTCCCACACCCTTTTCCTACATCAATGTTTCCGCCTATACCATGAATTTTATTTACTTGTGCTTTCTCTAGAACACAGTACATCAGCTATTGTCACTACCCATCCTTCACTTCCAATCCTCTCTCTTCTTTTCCCAGAATATACAGACATGGTCAAAATTTTCCCATAAAACTATAAACATCTGAAAATGTGTCTATTTTGCCTCCAACACACTTAACTCCTTGACCCAGTACAACTTGTCTTCGGCCACCATTCTTGATTTTATTCTCAAAAAGCTACCAACAATTTCCTAATTATCTAAAACCAACATACAAGGAGAGCTAAGAGATTTTCTTAGAGTTTACTTTCTGAAAAAACCTAAACAATCTTCTGTTTAAACATATTCAGTAGTAATTGCACTAATGCATACTTAAATATTTCAAAATCATTTTAAAATAAATGCTAATATAGCAAAGAATGACACTGACCTGCATTGGTACAGGTTCCTTAAGATAATACCCTTCAACAATCTGTTCTTTTCTATAGTGATCTATGATGTCTCCAATGCTGTCAAAATAAAAATTATCAACACTGACAAAATGTGTCACTTAGAATATGTCTCTAAAATAAAGGTGAATCCTCTTAGGAAGAATCAGAAATTTGTTTTGTTTTGTCTAGAGTATCTAACTAACCCCAAATATAGCAATCACATTATTTTAGAAAGACAAGAATGTGTTCTCATTATAGATTTATAATCAAATAAATATCTGAATTCAAGATTGAACTATTAAAATTTTGTATACACATCAAACTGGCAGACAAATCAACAATAACACACACACACGCATAGAGTCACTATTTGTGAGGAAAAGATTAAGGACTAAACATTTGTGAGAGATTTTCTGAGAATAAATAACTGAGGGAGAAATGCTCTTTCGTCATGTTAAAATTTAAGAACCCAAAATTCTTTAGCAAAGATTAAGGATGGAAATAATGAGTGTACACATGTAGCGATCTACATAGAGAATATATTGGAAACAACTGCTTTACAATTTGAATAAAATTTCTATTATTTTATAGTAGTACTTTATCACTAATGCTTGTGAAGTTATCATATGGAGAAAATAAACTAAGCAAATATCAACATTACAGACCGAGATTTTGCCAATCTTCAAAGAGAAAATCAATGTTACTTTATCATATATGATAAAACTTTTATATTCAGAAATAAAAAGCTATACTTTCTATTGTATAGAAAAATAAAGATATTCTATCATATTTCCTCTATTGAGTTATTTTCCTAATAAGATGACTCAAAGTCATTCTGCGAATTATAATTAAAAAATTTTAAGTGAAAAGCACATGGCCAGTAATTACAGACTGATAAAATTCCCCAAGTGCATGGTAACATCTGAATATTTGTAAATCCTTGGGTTGCTATTAAATGTCTCATGGTTTTAAAAAAAAATGTGTAATATATTTTTTTATATTTTAGATTAGATAGGTTTCTCTCCTGCAGTTAAGACATGAATTTGAAAATAGCTTGCATATAACACAAAATAACATCATTTTGGAAGGAAATAAACTTTAAGCTAATTTGTGTTCATGTCTGGTACTGTTTCAACGATACTTGGGCATGACTACTAAATTAAAGGTTAGTACTTTTCTATGACTTTGAATTGGACATAATATAATGTACTATCTATCTCAATTCCTTTTTGCTACAAAGTAACTAATATCTCATAACTTACCTGTTGTAATACCGACCTCCCATCATAAACTGATTGTTTGGTGTTGGACATATTTTAAATCGCTGAATATTTTCAATGGTCCGAAAATAAAGTGAATAGTCACCAGGTGTATTATCTGAAGGCCTCACAAGAAAACTGCAGACCTGGCCAACTATAAAATTAAGCTGTTACTTTCATTCTTTAATTATCAAACAAAAAGATTGTTGAGAAGTATAATTACAAACTACATTCAAAGTTATAAGCATATATAAGTCTTAATCAAGAACACATTTTATTTAAACAATTCATTTTCTGAAGGATTTTCTGGTTTATGATTCACAACCACCTGTTTTGTTTGTTCTTTGTATTCCCAGCATTGTTTAATTGGCTTTATTACACACATAAGGCCAAGATATTGCAGCAGCAGCAACATCTGATCAATTATGTCTATACCTGTTATAACTTTTGGAGAATAATTTAACCACAATTAAAGGACCCTAGCTAAAACAGCTAATATTCTATTTTTAACATTCTTAGTAAGAAGACACACTGAAAAACTAAAATCTATTTTTTCCTTGGGAATACTATGTTCTTTATAATGGCTTTCAATTAATCATTAATAATTAGTGACTTATAAAAGGGTAGGGACAAAAGTTCACAAAGGCAGGCTCAAAATAAGTGAAATACTTGTGTGTATATTCATGATCAAAATTGATACTTATACCATATTTAAATGAAGACATGATTCTTCAAAGTCAAATTATCATATTGAACATTTTCATATTTTAGCTTTTCTGTATTTAAGTCCTAAAAACTTGACTCTGTTAGGAAAGTACAAATAAACAAGTAGCATATCAGATGTATTTTTATGTAAATAAGTAATCATTCCAATCATCCACTCAAAACACTTACTAGCAAATGTCAAGTTTAAACATAAAGGAGGAAAACAATAAATCTCCTTAAATTGAATTGTTAAAGTTCAGTACATAAATAAACACATGTGGCAGAAATCGGCTCACTGTGTCATTTAACATAGGCTAAAATGAAGGCGTTTCTAGTTAATATAACAAACTGTGGCAACAAGAATCCAATAGAATCTGCATTTCTTCTAGAATGTTTGAAAGGAAGTACATGCAAAAGTGTACCAACGTGTACACATGTGCTTATGAGTATATTTTAGGGGACAAAAATCACTAGATTCTCAAAAGGATACCTGACCCAAAGAAATTATGCTTAGCTCTTTCACAACTTGCCTAAAACAAGAATAAATTGTTCAAATATTTGGTGTTTTAAGTTCAAAATTATAGGCTTAAAGTTCAAAATTTACTAAATGTGCTAAATTTGGATTTTGGGTCCTTCTTTGGGCATTGGTTATTATTCCAAGTAGAATAAAATATTTAATAACAATTTTAGTTTCTTCCCCACGTATCACAAATCTTATTGGTCTTCCTATGATTCTTTTTGTGTATTTAACATTCAGGTGTAATCCATATTGAACTTATTGATAATAATCAATAAGTTTTTCATTATCAGTAAGAAAGGTTGTGCTATACTCTGTATATACTAGGTTTGTTTGTTTGTTTTTTATCATTTTATTAGGGGCTCATACAACTCATCACAATCCATACATACATCAATTGTGTCAAACACATTTGTACATATGTTGCCATCATCATTCCCAAAACACCTGCTTTCTACTTGAGCCCTTGGTGTCAGGTCATTTTTTCCCCGCTTGCTCCCCGCTCCCCCCTCCTACCTGAACCTATGATAATTTATAAATTATTATTTTGCATATAGCATTTTCATGATCTTCCATTTATCTTCTTCAGTGTGCTTAGCCTACATTCTACAATGAAATTAAACACTTGTAAAGCTGACCCAACTTTTTCAAGAAAGCAAAGAATTAAACTAAAATGAAATATTCAGTGGCTTAAAACAATTGAGAAGAAATCTTCACCAATTACTACTTTATTCTCAAAAGAACTATCAAAAGAACATCTTTCAACATATACAAAAACTATCAAACTTTTTTTTCATGATTAACTAAAATTCAGATTATACATTGTGGGCTCAAACTTCTCTTTGAATCTCTATGTGATGTGCTTTACTGAAGAGCTATGTGGTAGTTAACTTAGTTCAGTCTTAAGGGTTTAATAAGGGTAAACAATGGCAGGATAAGTAATAAACACACAACATTTCTACCCTGCATTTCTCTTAAACTAGAGTTCTAGGAAGAACTAAAATTAATAGTTTAAATAGGCAAAGTTATGTAATTCTCCAAGGGCATAAAAGATAAATGCAAGAATGTTTACAGCAGCTGAATAGCAAAAGACATATATTTTTCTAGGAGAACTGGTGGCATGGTCAGGTAAAACCCGAATTGCTAAAATTTCAAGGTCATTTCAAATTCATACCAGCTGCTCCCATGAATATTTTCAGCATCTGAAACCTTATATAGCGTCACTTTGAGTCAGAATTGATTCTATGACAGCAAGTTTAGTGGACTGGCATTAGATATTTAAACAAAAACCACTGTCCTCGAGTTGATTTCGACTCATAGCAATCCTATTTGGGGTTCAGAGCTGCAAATCTTTAAGGGAGCAGAAAGCCTCACCTTTCTCTTACGAAGCAACTGATAGGTTCTAACTGCTGGTCTTACTATTAGCAGTCCAACACATAGCCCAATAAACATAGTATTTAATTAATGAGATACTCTGTAGTCAATTAAAAGAAAAACAAAAATTCTAGCTGCAGATATGGAATGACCTTCCAGGATATATTCTAGTAAGAAAAAAAAGGTGTGTTTTCTGTTCCACTGTGTGTGTTTTTGTGTGTGTAGAGGTGAGAGAGAGACATATAAACATACAGTGTTAAGAAACATTACCAAGCAATCACCTAGTACTGCTTCTGGGGAAAGAGACAAAGGTCTGAAGTAAAAAGAAAACACACCTGACTGAATTCTACACTACACGCCATGTTTTCTACAACACCAAACACCAGGTTCTCAGTGCTAGGCAGACCAATACGAAGAGCACAAGTACCTGTCATTAGTAAGTTATAAGCTTCCTGTTTGGAAATCTTCCCATGGAACCATCTTAAAAAGAGAAAAAAATTACACAGGTATATTAAAAGGGTTTTTAGTTGTTATCATGTGATCAAACTAAACAACATTCAATATAATAAGTTCAGTTCAAACTGATATGATTAACTTCAAAGCAACTAATTTAATTATAAATGATCTCATTCATGTTATATTTATTACTAAAGGCATACATTGTTTAACATTATAGTCTATAAAACAAGACTTTACACAACTTGGACATTGTGTGAACACTGTTATAGAAAGATAAATTCCTATAAAGCCCATTACATTAGAACTCTATGAGAGCATGCCAGATAAATCCTACTGGACACATATTGGGTATGTAGCTAAGCCAAAGGAATTGCATCTGATAGCTAGATTGAGACTTTGCACATATCCAGACATGGAGGTAAAGTGGGCAAAGGGGGCAAGGAGAACTGGCTGTGCAGGTGCCAGAACATAGAGATGGTGACAGTCCTGGATGCCACTAGACTGTTGGTGTAGCATTTCCCTGCTCATGTATCGCCGGTCACTGCCTGAAGTTGGCAGCCTGCAAGCACCGATGGCTCAGCAAGCACCAGTGTCCATAGTAGTAAGAGAGGATCCACGGCAGGCACTGTCCTTTGCTAAGAATAAGAGAGAGTGGCCACTCTGCTGGGAATGATATGTCATGAAAAATAAATTCAAAAAGAACCCTATGGGATTACCGACATATCACTCTCTCACTATCATGAAGACGATTCCCAATCATAGTGACTTTAGCAGAGTGACCAGAACGACCACTTTCTCTTTTTTTTTTTAACAAAGACTTAGGTAAAAGATACAGAACTACCTCTTCAGGGTTTCAGAAACGGTAAATTTTTATAGAAGGAAAACCTCATCTTTCACCTATGGAGTGTCTGTCTGGTGGATATGATGTGCTGATTTTGTGGTTAGCAACCCAACACATAACCATTTTGCCACCAGGAAGCCTCTCGAATATGTATATGGTCTTGACCTGTCAGACATCATGCCATGTAAACCTGGTATATTTTGTAGAAACACAGTACTGCTTAATTGCAATAAAATATTAAAAACTAGGAACTACCATATAAATTTCTACATTAGTTATCAATACAAAGACATCAATTATTTTAATACTATTGATCATGACAAACTATTATATGCTTACTTTCCAGTTAGCTTTTTTTGGGGGCGGGGGGGTCGTTGAGAGGGGGAAAATTTTACACTTAGAACCTACTCCAGATATACTGGTGGTAGCATACAATAACTAAAGTTTTTATATTTATCCTAAAATAGCATGTAGTGCTTAAGATTAACATTGTATTATTAATTTAAGTACTTAAAGTATTTTATCAATTTAAGGATTGCCTAATGTGCTAATATACTTTAATGTCAAGCTGATAACTTCTTATCATCTTTATTATATATTTATCATATATTCTTAAGGCCTACATTGTTTTTAATAGTGGGTCCAACAGTAAGTAAAAAAAAGATTAAAACATATATAAACCTTAAAGCCCAATACTTAGAGGTTGTTCATGCTCTTTTAAACAATTATTGGTGAAAGTACTAGTGAATTTACTGAAGTATTCCTGAAGTTTCTTCTTTTCAACATGAATGAAAAGTTAAGTTTTTTAATTCTCTCTCTAATCCAATCATGTACTACCAATTCAGATTTCCTAGGGCTCCAGCGTGAATTCTGAATAATGTAAAGCAAGTCTATAACTAGAACAGCAAAATTCCAGAGCACTCAAGAATAGGCTAAATGAGTATTTATTGCAAGCCAACAGGAGGACTTCAATATTCTGTGGAAGAATCAACTAATACCTTCTGAAGCCAATCCTGTTTTATCACAGTTTGATTAAGTGGGTGGGGTGAATGAGCCAGGAAGAAAGACAACCAATGAAGTTCAGCGTCTATGAAGATTTTTATCATAAGCACAATGCCTGAAGGCAAAGAACAATATAATCTTCTGAAAGGGTTACATTTGAGCTTCCTTCACT